TTCGAAATCCACCATGGACGATTTGTTCGGAAGGTGACTTTATGTTATTCGACTTGGGAGGCGATTCGAGAGAGCGGTACCTTTGGAAAGCTCCCGAAATCTTAACCCGGATCTATCGAAGCCTTGTAAGTGACACTGGGTAAACGAAATTGGTCGTTCTAACTCGAAGTCACGACTCATCAGGACCGAAGTTTCGAGAATACTGGCCTTGTTCAGACTGTGTTAAGCAATGAAAAATGTGCCTGAGCAGACGCCAGTAACAGGGATTTGCTATCTGACTAAACAGACAGGCATACGAGCGTCCAGAAAAAATATACAGGGTGGTTTGAAAGTCTTGTCACCTCTGCATAATATAATTTTCAATTTCAGAAAGCTGACACGATCTTCTATAATTGTAATAAGCGGGTAGGTGACAAGACTTTTGGACCACCCTTCACTAGGTTAGGCATAGTCAATAATTAATTTATATGTCGTTCGTGTAGAGGCACGGTGGAATAATGGATAGCAGCTCGAATCGAGGAATCACAGAGCCGAGTTCGAATCCCAGTCGAATCCATCTTGTTCACTTACGTGCTAATACCCTTGGGAAAGATATGAATCCTCTTCTTCTTCCCCCCAACCCCATCTATGGCAAGACAAACCGGGTTCTATAGCCTGCTATGGCAACTGGTCTACCGCTGAAAGAAATGGCAACCTACCGCGGGGAAAAAATCTTCCTCGTCAGTCATGTATCGAAAGATAAATGATCGCCTAAGCGTGTATCACGCATGGCACATAACTGACTGATCGTTAGTGTTTAATGTTTGTTAGAATGTTTTGTTATGCGTTTCTGTATCGATGAGCTATTTATTATTATTAATTTGCGCTACTTTTTAGGGAATCGGTCTTGTCGACTCCTGTCTTCGTAAACATTCTGGAACGCTATTGTCATGACAGACCTCCTGTTGTTATCAACACAAGGGAGATAACTCTATTACTCCAAAAATGGATATATATCACGCAGACAATTTTTTTTAACATCCAGTTTGCATTTATTATTATTCGATATCACTCCAAGCAAGGCAGTACATTCACTAGCAAGCAAGGAGTTACAGAGTTTGGAGAAATTAGGAACGGAAACATTAGTAATGAGGAGAAAGAAAAGAGCAATTAACGATTGACATTACATTACAATTTTGAAGCTTAGTTCTTTTTAGAAGTATATATCTTTGCTGAAAAAGCCTTACGGCCATTTCACGTTAAAGCACCAATCACCAAATTTAAGCAACATTGAGCTTCGTCAGCACCTGGAAGGGTGACTGCTTGGGAATACCGGTTGCTGTAAGTTTGAATGTAACCGGTAATATTATAGTGCAATGTATTACGGCTCGGAATTTGAAATCGGAGAGCCGAGTTCGAATTCCAGTCGTGTTTGTTATATTCAATTACGCGCAAATACCCTTGGGGGAAAAACATGAATCCACTCCTTCTCCCCCAGCTATGGGTTAATTAGTAGGATTTGTATCAATAAATCATTATTATCTCCCAAAAATTCTTACAAGCTAAAAATATTTTCCGGCTCGAAATAACCAACGGAAGGTTGATAAATCATAAAAAGTCACACTCCTCCCACTGGTTTTTTTAAACGTGAGCAGAGTTTTTTTTTTCTTTTTTCCTCTTTACGATTGGACTTCCGGTTCCTTCTAAATTCTCTTCCTTCTCTTTCAATTTCAGTAGCTTATCCTTGCTGGTGTTATCGCCTTGCTTGGGGTGAATTGATTTTTTTTAAAAAAATAAATAAGTGTGGTCCTGTGCAAGATTTTTCCCCATTTTAAAATTTTCAAGCACAGGCGTTACTTGTAAAAAGTAACATCACTAAAGTATATGAGTTTTTAGTGAGACTTGACGGAGCGAAAACTGGTGATCAAGGTTCATGAAAGATATATATTTTTTTTAAATTGCTGCAGAATATTGGGGTCTTTTGGCTAGAATCAAACGACAGATACGTGCTACACACTTGTAAAACTATAGATAGGATAATTTTCTCCTCGAATCAAATAAGTCATTCGATGTCGGATGGGATCCGTTACAGAAATTAGGAGAAATGTTGCCTGTATTGAATCAATTCATATTTCTTCTGTTAAGAAGGTTTTCTCAGGGATTGTTAAACAGGTTGTTCTTTAATAGTCCAACATGCGAACTTCAAACTGGAGATACCAAAATCAAGCAAGTAGAAAAATTTAAATATCTGGGAAGTATTTTATCAAAGAGCGAAAAATGCAACACAGAAACAGGCCTACCATAAGCTAAGCAAAGTATTAAGAAACAGGAAAATATCGTAAGATACAATGAAAAGGCTACTGAATTTTTATGTAATTTCTGTACTCCTATAAGGCAGTGAATATGCGAATCAAAAGGACATTTATGCTTATCATCAGAAAAAGACAGTTCAAATTCCTAGGGTACATAATAAGGAATGATTTTATCTTTGATCTCTATCTATAAAAGGCAGGATGTGCGCGCGCGTGTGTGTGTGTGTAACGAATGCACGGCCGCAATTTTCGACGGATTTGCACCAAAATTTACATGCACATGCTCCAAGTTAGTGGAAAGGCCAAGACCGACTTTGCTTTTCCCAACTTCCATCGATAGTGGAAATAATCGATTTTACATGCTTCTACAGCAGTTTTCATGTAGTTTGCTACCATTTTGTACTGTCCAGAGTGAGAGCCAATAGCTGGCTGCCACGAATAGACAGGAAGATTCTATTGGCCAGCGTGAGAGCCAACAGCTGACTGACATGAATGTTAACTAGCATGCTAGCATGCAAAAAAATATCGATAGCTGCATTCGTCACAAGTGGGAAAAATTTAAATCTGCATGGCACTTTACTCCAATTGGCTCATTCGCTTGCTTAAACTCAACGTTGATTCTGATTCCGCAGAACTGGGTTGGGTGTGAAAAAGTAATTGTTGTTAACATTCTTTTTTCATTCGTTTTTTCCAGTTACAAGTCCTTTTTTAAAGCTGATTGTTTTGTGTTCATTTTGTTTAGTTCTGTTTTCGTAACAGATTTAATGTTTAGTATAGAGCTTAGAAAAAATTCGCAGTGTGAGATAGGCAAGAAGTAAGGCATGTAGCAACATCAGCACGGCAAAGGGCACTCCTTTAAAGGCAAGGAAGGGCAAAAAATATTTTAAGTCAAGTGATAGCGATTGCTGTATGAGTCGTCCGATTTTTGAATCAAGCACGGGCAACGCCGGGCCATGCTGCTAGTTTTATATAAATTCTTCGATCAATTTTCTTTGAACAAAGCAGACCATACCACCTGACTCTCTTGTCGCGATAGTTAAATTACGACTGTGAGTAGTGAATTCGATTCTCACTGGCTGTCCCATATTTTCGGTTTTGTATCCCATCTAAACTACGCTTAGAAAATCATTTTGGGCTCTTCAACTTGATGCATGTCTAGCCAGATCAGTGTTTCATTTGGGATTGGGAGCAGTGAACATACTCAGTTGGCGGAGGGCATGTATCCATTTTTTTTTAGATTTTAAAAAATTATTCAATATTGGCTACAAAAAGAAAATTTCTGAAAAGTATCTAAATCTATCAAACTTTCCTTCATTGCTTTTTCTATTTCCAACATGGCTGAATGTGGTTTCAATGCAGTTACAGAGCTTCTTACTAAACAAAGAAACCGCCTGAAAATTGAAAATTCTTGTTATAACTTTTTGTGAGAATATATTTCTTATAATTTTTATATTATTAATAAATAATCATAATAAATGTCTTGAGGGTACATTGGAAATTTAACGGTGACTGGTAATTTAGCGTAGGAGAAGTGCAAATGGATTTTTAAACCGTACTGGAAGACATTATTTGTTTCTATAATCAATACGTTTTGTGCGCAAGTTTTGTTTTTCAATACTGTGTACCTACTTCTGCATCCACCAGTGCATATCCATCTATCTGTCTATATTCGAAATAATAATTTGACGAGGTGCTTTGACAAAATGATTGTGCCTAAAGGTGGCGCTGGTTGAGAAAAGTTTGGGAAACGCTAAGCTAGATCAATTACGACACGTCAAAAGGACGCGTATACTCCCCTTGAGTTCAGAACGCCATAACTTATACTGACGCTGCTTAACTAGTCAAATGCACGTGAAGCATGCTTAACCAAGGAAAATCAAAAGACATGAATGAGAAAATACAGAAATTGCTTTCTTTCTTTCTTTTTTTCTATCTGTCTTTCTTTATTTCTTCTTTCTTTTTTCTTTCTCATTTTTTTTTTTTTTTCTCTCTTTTTTTCTCTCTTTCTTACTTTCTTTCTTTCTTTCTCTATTTCTTACTTTCTTTCTTTCTTTCTCTCTTTCTTTCTTTCCTTCTTTTTTCTTTCTCACTTTCTTTTATCTTTCTCTCTTTCTTTCTTTCTTTCTTTCTTTTTCTTTCTCTCTTTCTTTCTTTCTTTCTTTCTCTCTTTCTTTCTTTCTTTTTTCTTTCTCTCTTTCTTTCTTTCTCTCTTTCTCTCTTTCTTTCTTTCTTTCTCTCTCTCTTTCTTTCTTTCTCTCTCTCTTTCTTACTTTCTTTCTTTCTTTCTCTCTTTCTTTCTTTTATCTTTCTCACTTTCTTTTTTCTTTCTTTCTTTCTTTCTTTTTTCTTTCTCTTTTACTTTCTTTCTTTTTTCTTTCTCTCTTTCTTTCTCTCTTTCTTTCTTTTTTCTTTCTCTCTTTCTTTCTTTCCCTCTTTCTTTATTTCTTTCTTTCTTTCTTCTTTCTCTCTTTCTCTAATGGAGCTTTAATGCAAAGTGAAACATGTTAGATTGATAAACTTTTCATTTTTGTTCTTCATCTTATCATCTTGCCTGATCCCGATCCATATTTGATTTATATTTTATTTCAATCCATATACACTTGTGTGTGTGTGTGTTTGTGTATGTCTGTACGTATATAGTACGTGTGTATGTATCAGCAATTTACAGCGGAATATCGATATATTAGCGTTTGGCTACGTGGAAAAAAATTTCTACGCAAGCCTAAAACGATCTGCAGATTTTCAAAATAACAAAATGCCAATCGATATCTTTTATAGAACATGAAAGAAAATTTTAGAAACCATTCATACTTATTTCATTTAACTTCATCTAATCATAAAGATTTACAGCCTGCAGATAAGAAAAGAAAAAAATCAGACATTAATTTCTAAGTCATCCCGCTCTTGCATACACGCCATTGAAATTTGCTGCAGTCGAGCAAAAAGTTACATGTGTCTGAATTTTTATGATGGTGAATTAACGTTATATTACTATGCGAGCTGGTGTTCTTCTCTTAGTTGCTATAGTCACTCTGTTCGGTAAATCTGCGCAAAGCTGTGCTCTAAAAACCGTCTCAGTGCTGCCATGTCTGATTTGGTGCTTCTGCTATTCATGTCGAGAATCCAAAGAAGGATCTGTAATTTAATCGATTCTAAATTGACATCTCAACTTCAGTCACTTTCTTACCGACGTGACGTGGTTTCTCTCTGTCTTTTCTACAAATATTTTCATGGCAACTGTTCTGGTGATGTTTTTACCCGCCTAGTGCTCCGATTGCATGAATTTAAACGTGCTACTCGATTGCCATCTAGGTCCCACCATTTTACTGTTGAAATAGCTAAATGCAATCTCCGATTCTTTTCTCGCACTTCCTGCCTGTGGAAATCCCTTCCGTTTACTTGCTGCCCTACAATTTTCAAAAATTTAGGTACATCGTCAATCGCCATCTTTTATCTTGAATCTCGATCATCTTTTTCCTTTCCTCAATCCTCCCTATACTCAATATTTTCCCTCACTTTCATTTCCTGTGAACCCCTGCATACTAGTAGCATTACCGCCAAGATTTAGGCGATATCATTTTAAAAAAAAGGTGTAGCGTAGAATTCAGTATGCTATGGGAGTTTTTATCGGAACTCTGGTTATAAGGAATTATTATTATTATTATGTTTTGCGATTAGAGTCAGCATAATCATCTTGACTGTTTACACCCACAAAGGTTCGTACGTTACCCGCTGTGAGATTCTTCGTTCTCAGTAACCTTCTGGGAATGTCATACAATTTATTCAGTTATAATTTGGCTTTCCTTGCTGGGAATATGTGACACGTTCGCCGGAGGAGGGGCTTATTCAGCATTTGATAATTTTGCTGCAATTACGCGCTTAAAGGTTTTTTGATCAACATCTCTTTTCATATTGAGCCGTAAGAAATTGTAAATGTAGAATTACCTCACACTGATGTAAAATAATAGCAAAAATAATATTTATTAAGAATCTGTAACAGAACATACCAAGTTTATGGAAACTTTGTTGACAATTATGTATTTAGTTGCATAACAAATAAATACAAATAATATAAATGTTGAGGCTATATTCGATTTGTCGTGAGCTATTTTAAATTTTCTCCTTTGTTATTGACAGCATTTTAGAATACTTTGGCTGCAATGCTAAGTTTCCAAAGTTGAACAAACTGGAGCTATTTAGTTTACGCTTTGTTATCTCTCTTTTCTATTGTTATTTTTTTTAGATTGCTTTCTTCCAGTCATTTTGATGGGCTATAGCGAAATTCTGACATTTAGAATGATCGTATTCTATTTCAAAAATAAAGCCTGTAAATAGGAATATTTTAAATTAATATACGACCAAAATTAAAATGCTTTCCATGAAGAAACCATAATTATTTTATTGTAATTATGTAAAGATAATGTAATGATATTTCGTAGATATATCTAAGGTTTATGTTACCGCATAATGATTTTATTGTAATTATGTAAAGATAATGTAATGATATTTCGTAGATATATCTAAGGTTTATGTTACCGCATAATGATTTTATTGTAATTATGTAAAGATAATGTAATGATATTTCGTAGATATATCTAAGGTTTATGTTACCGCATAATGATTTTATTGTAATTATGTAAAGATAATGTAATGATATTTCGTAGATATATCTAAGGTTTATGTTACCGCATCTCATTGCAAGGTTACGAACTAAGCTTGAAATATTGTGTAATCGGCTCTAATTTTTTCGTAAA